AATTAATGAGGGTAAATAACGAGGTCAGTAATAGCATCACGGAAAGTTTCCTTCACTCGTGCGATTCTTATCGGTGTCGAAAGTCTCGATAGGACTTGGCGAGTCAAAAGAGATGAGAAAAAGAGATACATCTAAGATACGCGATGTGCGTCAATAAGGCTCACTGAACCTTCGGCTCGGCATAATAAAGAAGCTGAATACGGAAATACGGGGCGAAGAAAACGTCAACAAATTCTAAATTTCGACTCGCTCCTTGTTCTCGCCGAGTTTGTCCAACGTTATTGCACATACGCTCCCGTATAAAAAATAAATTCACATACCCGGCAACACATGATGCATCCCTGCGTCCTGCGTCCTCCGTCCAGGTCCTCCGATCCAGCGTTCTTGGCTGCTGCTTCATCACGCACTCAACACACGCACACACACTAACACACATCGCGTAGACGCGACTCGCGATTAACTATTCGATTAACATTCGAACGTGCTAACTAACGCGATGCCGACGGGAGCTCAATTAAATATTTCAATAGCCCGCGAAATGTTTTGATTCCGCCCGACGAGAAATGTAAACAACGCGCCGACTATACGCGCACTCCGTGTCGCGGTATGCGAGTCGCCCGTCGGCTCGGGAGATGTAACGACGCGATCATGGACGGTATATTATATACGTATACGCGAGTACCAAAACAATGTACACCTTCGAAAGGGACAAAGTCATCTATAGCCAATCGCGAACCGCAACTTCCCGCCAATCAATGACGAGCGTATCCGGTGGTCGGGAAAACACAATAATCGACCGTTCGCGAAATATACGAATTCTTAGCCTTTTGCGCTCGAGGAATATTTCCAGCAAGCTAAAAATTTATCCCTCATATATAAATTTACTGACAAAATTTATGAAATTTTACTTTCTTGCAGTTTTCTTAAGTGTGATACATTTTGTCGTTTTATCGCCCTCAGTCTTTAGATCTTTTTTATGTCAGCACAACTGGCATTCCGAGTTGCTGGAATAAATGTTCGTGCCAGCTGTGCTGGCATTCCGAGTGCGAAGAATCAGAGATAATCAAATTATGAAATTATCAGGCCTGACGTCGAAACGTTTCGAATGTAGACCGTAACATCGTTGGTTAACGTGCGACCGAATAGCATTAGTTAATTAGTCGGAGCTGCGCTCCGACAAATTCGTACTGTTTTATGTAGAACGCTTGAGCATCTGACAACGACGATGACTCCAGAACGGGATGCAGGACGCAGGATGCAGTGGCAGCCGACGACGAGACCTGCAACTTTTTCTTTCACATCTTTTGGATCTTTAAATTTCTGACGGAATTTCTGATGACAAAATCAGCGGAAAATAATAATAAAGAGATTACGAAAGAACAGTGTGTTCGTTGTTTCATTTGTCCAATTACCCATCAATCTTTAGATTGTTGAATATTCGCTTATCGCGCATATTCTATCTGCAGTCGAGTAAATTGTCCAATCAATATATTGCAAAAGTCAACGAAAAAATTAAATGCAGATGGCTCGCTGAGATAATCGAGTATTAAATCATTCTTAAATAAGTCATTTTCAGGCCTCAACAGTAAAGAACAACTTGAGCGAGAAAAGAAACACGAGTACTTGTTAATAAACAAAATTTTTCTACTCTTCATATGTTATATAAATATATGTAAAATTTTCATTCTTGCACATTTATTCAGTTCGTCACAAAATCATTGTCAGAAACAAGCACGATTTTTCAGTGATCTGACCCCCTCCAGTCCCCTTAAATATATAAATAGGCAACCAAAAGTATTATCTTCTCAACGTCAAAAAGATCAAAGAGGGAAACAAAAGAAAACAAGAAGAAAAAATATATATTACGTCGGCAGAATATTCGCTCCAATTGCGCTGGTGGCGCGCTTCAAGGTTGCATTTTCCACGTAATCAGATCTTTTTACTAAGACTCCTATTCACCGACCGTCCTTCTCCGCGAGACCGTCGCGCGTTGTGACTTCGCGAAGGCGAAGAGAGTGTCATCGAAGGCAAGGCCGGCAACAAATTGCCTTTAGCCACTCATCGTGCTTCTGGAATTCGTGCCAGTCGCGCGTAATCCGGGCGATCTCGTGTTAGTAGGCCGCAGGCGCGGGTGAAGAATTCGCACAATGTGCCGTGAGTTACGTCACATCGCGCATTCGCCTCGTCATTTGATGACGTCATGGCACCGTGCGCCCCACGAATGACTGGCCGTCGTTCGCTCACGTATCGCTCACGAATTACTGATATTACATGAGAATAGACGCGGCGCGCTTGGGTGCCCCCTATTCTGCCCCCGTCGGAATTAGACCCCTCGTAATCGTGGCAATGTCAAGGTGTCGGTCGTTCGGGCTCCACCGTCGGTCACCACATTGATCATCTTTGCACCACGGCAAGCACGTGCGACACGTGCTCACCTCGTAGGCTCGCTTTTCTCGCGATAGCAAAGGTGTAGCACAAAGGTGAGTGCGAAAGAGGTGATACTCCGCGGGTTTCAGGGCTTCTGCTCAGTCGTAGGGATTCGCGAGGAAAGTGCACTTCGATGTCTGTCTCGCTTCGCGACTGAATTGAACGGTGTCCGCAATGCACAACAATGTACGATAAGATCGCGCTTCTGGATCAACGTCGGAAGAGAGTGGGAAGCCTGATGATGAAGATTTCGTTAATTAAGACTGCCGTTTTCTCGCATGAGCAAACCTCACTGTCGATCGCGGCCTCATCATCTTCTCCATCGCGGTGAATGAACGGCGTATCCAGCTTGTTGAGCGGCTTGTTTTCGTTACAGCAGGTACGGTATACCCGTGAGTATCGTATAAGATTAATATTAGATATCACATAGTAAGTAAAGAACGCATACAATAAGAATATAAAAACTCTCCGGGACTCCCGATAAGTCGTTCATTCGAGGCAGAAGTATATCTTGACGTTCTTGGTATCGCAAATACATATCTCGAATTAGAGACTCCGAACGTCAGTTTTGCGATGCGCTTCAGCCCGGAAGTAAGTCGGATAAGATTGCACTTGGCTTGGAAAAGTGAACAATATGGTGAGAATTTCGGTCGATCGTGATTATAACACATTTCCCCGCGACAGAAATGGAAGTGACTGATAAATAAGAGCAGGATGTCTCGCGGTCGTCGTTCTAATATCGGCTCTCTCTACCTCGTCCTCCCTTTCTTGATATTAATATCTCCCACTGCTCGCAAGCACTACGGACGATAAGCGGCCGCTTATTCGGCATCGGCGCTCTGGCGAACCAATTTTTAACGACTTTCATTGGTAACGGGACCAATTTTTAATGACTTTCATTGGTCGCGACTTGACGAACGCGTGCAATGGACTCAATTGAATTCAATAAACATCGATTAATCCCCCGTCTTGTTGCTTTGTCATCTTGTCGTTGCACGTGCCACGCGAATAGTTCAATGCGTATTAATAACCCGAGACTCTCTCTCTCTCTCTCTCTCTCTCTCTCGTCTGTGAATTAACAAATTGCCGTCTATGAACGGCGGGACGGCGGGACGCAACGCAGAAGCAGGAACAACTAGTTTTCATTTGGCTCGGATGGCTTATCTCGCCGCTGCCTGGAGGAACGTCCTGTGTGTTCAGAGATATTACGTAAAATATTTTTCGCGAGAAACGCGCGCGAAACCGTACTGTCGTTTTTAACGTTAAACGCACAACGACGGCGGACAGTGCCGGCGGATAATCCGGTCATAAAATGACTCAGAAAAATCACAAGTGTTCCGAAGCACGACATGACTAGGACAATACCGAGTAAACGATAATTATCATTAATTAATCGGATGATGCGCCTGGCAGAAAGATATACGCTAGGAAACAAAACACTTCATGTTAATCATGGATTAACATTAACGTTATCTGATCGCCGATAAAAGTAAGCCGAAATAATCTTGCCGAGATACGAAATAAACGGCCTTCGTCTAAGCGAGAAGTCCCCTAGTCATGTTGGTAAATCACGTGGGTAAATCGAAATGATGAACTTGTCACTTTCGCGTTGCGTCATTGTTCCGAATTAATCGAATCACGAAATTTAGACCCGGCTCTAAACAAACAACACGACATTTTGCTCCCCGCGATACTCGCTCGTTATATGCGCATCTATCGGCGACGAAAAGATAAACTCACATCATATTAAAATCGCACAATGTGTGTGTGTGTGTGTGTGTGTGTGTGAGAGAGAGAGAGAGAGAAACTTGTTTACATAATTCTTTTTCTTTCTTGACTGAAAAGCGTTTTCAATTCAAAAACCGCTCAAAATCGATACTCCTGTTCTTCCTGCACAAAGGCGCCTGGAGAAATACTCAGGTACGTGATAGTCGAGATTTTCACACACACACACACACACACACACACACACATATACATGCACGCACATTCAGCTTCCGGCCGAATTTTAATTATCCCCCACATTGCTCCGCGAGAACACCGCGAACGTCTCTCTTAATAATTCCGCAAGACACGGCGGCGCGCGCGTAGACGAGGCGATCGAAAGTGTAGCAGACAACTCGTATTAAATTTAATTAAGTGCCACGTGTCTCTCGGGCGAGAAAATTGCACCGTTAGCGCAATATGCTGCGCACAGCGGCGCGTGTTGCGCGGGGCTCTCTCTCTCTCTCTCTCTCTCTCTCTCTCTCTCTCTCTCTCTCTGCAGCGGCGGGAAGGGCCGGCGAAAAATGCGCTCGTCGATGTGTCTCGTCAAGGGAAAAAGCCGAAATAGGTGCGCGCTCGCGTCGGAAAATATTCGCAGTGTCATTCGGGAGCGAGAAATGTCGATCATGCGACATCAAATGATCATTCGTGCAGGAAGCGAGCGAACAGGAGCGATTGAAAATAGGAGGGGTAAGCGCGGAGCGGCGAGGAGGGCGGGAGGAGGAAGGCGAGATTTTAGCAAGAGGGGGAAGACTCTCTTGCGGGATTTATATATACGAAGGAGCTCATGCGAGCGTCGTGAATCGCGTTCTTCGCTCGACGTAACCGAGATCGCTTGTTCACGTGGTGAGCGTTTTCGTCGCGTTATCGCGCAACGCAGCAACGTAACAGTCCTCGTCGGAAGGGAAGAGATCGGTCGCCGATTGTTCTCACGCAACGTCGTCGTGTTGAAGCCGGTGCTTCGTATGTATAACGGTGAGCTCGATTTTCCGCGCGTAACGCGAGACAGTTCTCGCGGCCGGAGTTGTCTCTCGCCGCGACAGCTGACTGTGACAAACTACAAGTTCCTTCCGACCGACGCGACGCGACGCGACGCGTCGAAACTAAACGGAAATCTATAATTCCAGCTTCATTTTTCTCTCATTGCGTTCCTCCGCGCTGTGAAAAAAATGCCTCTCGATCGTGACGCTTTTCATTCGTGGCGCGAGCTCGCGCTGTCTCGCACGTGTCGAATAACCCGTCGACGTCGGCGTCAAGATGCGTAAGAACGTCAGCGAGCTGTACTTCACAATTGTGCGCGGCGAATAATTTCGTTGCTCGCGCGTTGCGGTCATTTTCGATCGCGCAACTCGAAACAATCGCTTCCGCTCGGGAGCCGGCCGCGTCGTCGTCGTCGTCGTCGTCGTCGTCGTCGTCGTCGTCGTCGTCGTCGTCGTCGTCGTCGTCGTCGTCGTGCGCGTTCCGCTGTCAATTTGTAACGAAATTATCATGTCTCCGAATGTATCGACGTTTTCCGTTTTAACGACTCAGTCTTCATCCACGTGCCGCGATAACTTTCCCGGCATGCCTTGAATTTTTGCACGTGCAGCGGAAAAGTACCGATAATACCGCGAGCGGAGGAACGTAAAACGCTTGGAATCAAGAGAATAAAGATCACTCCATTTTTGCCCGACATATAACGAAGTATAATCGAGTATAACGAGAGAACGTATTTTCAAAGGAGACTATATTTATTTCAGCTGCAGATTCTTGCGATACGATCGTCCGCAACGAGAAGACTAGCAAGTCCGAGCTGAAAATCCTGCTCGAATACTAAGGACCGTAAGGTCAGGAGCGTGGATCAGTGAAAATCAAACACGGTGGAGCCTCGACTGGGCGTTAAAGTCGAAATCATCGCTCGGTGGCCGCATTCGTCAGCAAGCTGGAGTCCTTGAACGGCGCCGAGTTTGTGGCCGGAAGTGTTTGCTCACCGGGATGATAGCCGCACGGTTCTGGATGTGATAGGATCCGAAATCCTTCGAATCGAGCGTATTTTTTCAAATGCAATTCGACCGATCGATCGGTAGCAACACTCGCTGGTATGTTTCTCCGTTTCATTTTGCAGCTGAGAGCGGCGATTTCGACTTTTTTCCTCCTTCCTCGTGCGAACATGCTTTAAACGTGATTGCGCGATAGAGAAAACAATAAATCCCTGCGACCTGATTATCGCATAAAATATCTCAAATTAGAATTTCATTCGTCGAATTCTCGCGTTTCGATTATCTCGATAATGAAGATTCCATTTTTTTTCCACGTGTGATTCAACACTTGATTTTGCTCATTTGGACAGTTTACATAACGCAGACTTCGACGAGCTACGAAAAAAACGAGTACTACAAATGTTTCTCACACTATGTGAGAAACTATGTAAGCAAGAATAACTCTCAAATCAATGTTCGACAGCTGTGTGTGATCTGTAAAAAAAATCAGTCTTTCGACTGCATGCGTGTCTACGAAATTCTTACCACTTGCTGATTATTACTATTTTTCACTTTTATTGTCGAGCTACACAATTCTTCTCTGTGTTTCACAACCGCATTAATCCTATTGTTCTAAATGAAATCTCCCGAACTGAAAATCATGCTCTTGAAATCATATTAATTTCCGAAAAAAAAAAAGTTGATATAATAAAACAGACTAAAATTGGATCACCTTCATGAAAGACGGACAAAAAATTCTGTCAGCAGCGAATGAAAATTTTCGGCGTAAACTCTCTTTCGCTCTCTCGATTCCTGATTACAGGCATGCATATTTCAGCAGTTTCTAATGGAAAGCTTCTCATTACAGACAATCTCGTGAAGTCAGTTGTAACGCGCAGAGATTGGACATCTCTGTATCCTCGGCGGTAGATTTTAACTGTCGCGGCTGAGCGAAATTTGACAGGTGAGTGAGCGCTGCGGCGCAAATTTTTATCGGCAAATCACGAGCGCGGCATGAAAGTCGCGGCACGGCGGAGCGCATCATAATAATCACTGTAATCGTTTAAACCGACTGAAATAACGTCGCGGTAGACAATGAGCGACGAGATAGCGGCGGAAAGATAATAAGTCAAACCGACTAACGAAATATATCTCACCGGGCACGCCAAATGCGTAATCTCGCCCCGAGTACCGGCGATACCTCGCCGCACATTTCAAAAAGCGAAAAAAAACCAAACGAAATTATTTCTCCCGCAATATACTCTCCCCCTTCCCCGTGTTTTTGACGTGACATTGACGTGAGATACCGCGGCTGACTGCCGAAAGAGAGGCCGAAATCCCACATTCGCCCGGCATCGCCGGGCGCGGTGTTCGCATAAAATACATTATTTACGAGTCGTCGTCTTTTATACACATACCGGCGATCGTGTGAAATCTCCCCCGCGTGCGCGCGCGCTCATTGAAGGAACACCGAAAGGGGGACATCGATCACGATAAAGTGCCGTTAAACGATCTCTATGGCGAGGCAGCGGTGAGGATTTTGCACCGCATGAATTTACGACAAAGCGATCCGTCATTTTCGCCAATCGTGCAATGATTTAATTTCCGTGAAACTGGCCGTGAAATCAAAATCGATCGGGGCCGCGCCGCGCCGCGCCGCACGACCGGCCATCGGCGAGCACAGCGCTCGTCGTTATTCGAAACCGGGGAAAACGAGGGCGTTGAATGCAAACAGGCCGTAAGTCATTGACACAAAGCGCGCACGGGCGTGTAACGAAACGCACGTCGGCGACTCGGGCGAATTTCTCGCGGGTTCAGCGAGATTTCCTCGGCGCGCATCGTAAGTGCAACGTGCGGTCGCGCCGGCAATACTTTACCGAGGAATCGTCGTCGGGAGCGCGAGCGCTTAATTGACGACTTCCTTACGCGGCGCAAGCTTCAAACGCGCGATCGAAGCGTTCACGTGTTACATAATTAATTACTGTCTCGTATAAACTGTGTGTCGCGCTGAGAAAAAGAAAGAGAAACATTTGATCATTCTACCAGGTTCTGGAATGTCCTCGTGGAACCGAGCAGAGACTCGCGGCCATTTTTATCTAGACGAAATATCGCATCATGCGAATTACTCAGCGGGATTTTGCGATGTAATATAGGAGGAAAACAAAGTCGGTTGTTATCGCGAGTCTTCCTCGTAGCGTATCTGCCACGTGAACACCGTCGCCGGTCGTTTAATCGCAACGATCGCCTCGCATAAATCTCGTTATCGCCGATAACATTCCAGCGTAGAGGCTCTTCGTGGGATAGAATGCGCAATATTCCGCGATAAAACATCTTATCTTACTACGAAAACATTGCAGTTTCAGTAATATTAACACGAAGGCTGCATCCGTCGAAGCCAGCGACGTCGGCAGCTTCATTTTCGCCTAAAAACGGTCGTTACGTTTCAAACGACGCGATCGGTCATCCCGCCGGCGACTCTCCGTTTTCGAAAATGGAATAATGATGAAATCCCGACAAGGGTTGTCCTCCTGTTCCGCGGAAATTCCAGCGCCCCGCGGAAAAATAAATAATACCGAATCGCGAGGAGGGGTGAAAGAGGAAGGGAGGAGAGGTGGGGGAGGGGGGAGGAGGGGCAATTGTCCGAGTATCACAGCAGCTCGAGCGTCACCAAGGAAGGAAGGTACATAAATATTCGCCGGTCATGCTAGTCGATTAATCCGCGATCGCGTCGATATTGATATTAAAATTCAATAAATTGTGAATTATTCATGAAGCGCCGGATCGGGCTCGGCTCGCGCGCGAGCTTTTTAACTTCTTCGTACTAGATAACGGCGCTTTTATCGACGCCGCGGAATAAGCGACAGAGAGAGAGAGAGAGAGAGAGAGAGAGAGAGAGAGAGAGAGAGAGAGAGAGTGTGAGAGAAAGCGAGAGCGAGGGGAGAAGAGAAGGGAGAGGGGAGGAAAAAGAGCATACACACACGGCGCATCACGCAAATACGCCGTTAACGATGCAAGTTTTTCGGTCGATTCGGTCGAAATTTTGCGAAAAGCGTATTCCGCGGCGCGTCGTAAACAAAAGCCCAGCGCTCCGCAACGAGCGGAAATTTTGCAACGGACGCAAAGTACAACAACACGTTACTGAGGAACTCGAGTTCGCTGCCAGGCCAGGCCAGGCCAGGCACCTTGTTTCCGTCCTTATTATCGAGTGGCGCGCAGAGATTGCCGAGCGAGCCGGGCCGCAACCGAGCGAATCGAAAGTGACTGAAATCCTCGGTCGGTCAAGGCGAACGGACGACATAACCGCGGCGGCGATAGTGAAAAAATGTTATTAGCGCGCGCAGCGTTCGCTCTTGCGTTAGCGTAACGCGACGCTATCGTTGCATTGCGCGCGGATCGCCAGCCGTTCGCGCGACGTCGGGCGTCGGAATAATTTTACCGAGAAAGTGTCGACGATCGGGATACATGATTGTGTGATACTCGAAACTGCCAAGTCGCGTCGGGAGGAGAATTTCGCAGTCCGAATTGTGCGGTCGAGAGGAATCGGAGATTGCGACATACAATTAATACAATTTCGATAACTACAATTTCGACTACTTTTCCGAGGACATATCTAATTTTCGATATCGCGAGACACATCCATCACGGCGCGTTGCGTATCTCACGTGCGCATCCATCGCGCGGTGTCCATCACGAGACAAAGCGTGATCTCGTTATCGGTGTACACGTGACTCACAAAGCAGCGCTCTTCGTTGTAAATAAGACAACAGAGCCGCGGCAGGTTTGTTAGCCCGATCCACGAGCTCGACGCGGCCAGACACGTTAACGATTAATATCCCGTAAGTTGATTAATACGTTTAATACGTTAATCATTCGTACGCGTCACGTCCCGGCGCAAAAATCGACCGCGACAGCGACTAGTGACATTAATTAATTAAGGGCGTTGATGTCGGAGCGCTTCATCGATATAGAGTTAAAGCGCCTCGAGACGACGAGATGAACGGAACGATGTATAAGACGTTACGAAAATCGCGCGCGCGCGCACATTTTATCTCCAAAGACAAACGGGAAATCATATTAAGAAGATTTACAGTCCGTTTCGACATTAGACATTAATCATCTTGGATTAATGACAATTTAGAAGCGCTTGCATACGAAGGAACGTCGATGAATGAAATTTGCAAATTTTGCAAATTTCATTTCACTCCGAGAGAAGTGAGACTCTCGATATATTCGAGAATCACGGACTTTCAGATGGACTTGATTCTTGCGAGCTCCCGTTTTGAAAGCTCCCGATAATAAATAAATAAATACTCGGTGCCGGGGAATTTTGTTTTGAGGGAACAAGATATCGCGCGCGTCCGATAACGCTTTCTTTTCCAGCGAAAAAGAGATCTCTAAAATATCTGGAAAAATATCTTTAGAATGAACGGCTATGAGAGCGCGCTGTGCACCCTTCAGAGAGAATATCCTACATAACTTTTCGGCACTTGGATACTTCTCTGAAATATACTTCACCGCCGAATCTGCCGCCGCCGAAATACCTGTTATTATGAGATCTAACAATTTAACTTTCCCGAATTGTCCGTGCTGTCGTCGATGCTGGTCGATGCGGCCGGGCGGATTTTGTTCCATTCCTATTAACGCGGTAGTTCGTTTGAATAAAATTGCAATCGAAACGTCGCGAAGTTATAAGAGCACAGAGCGACGATAATTTGACCGTTATAATGAGAGATATAAATAGGGCTTAATGCACGCTCACCGCCGCTCACGGCAATCGAGAATATCGGCCACTCGGCTGCGCTCGAATTAGTAATTCAGCGGAATGTGATAAACAAATGGCGTAATTAAATATTCACTCTCGTCCCGCCGGTTTATAAATTCGATCGGATTTCGTCCCGCCAACATACGACGACACCATTTTTATTTATTTACGCGATGACACGTTACAGCCGTGAGCGGAAATTGCGTATTGCCTATATCTCACGCGCGGCACGTACATTATATCTCGCGTTACATTAAATTTTACAAGCGCGGTCCCACACCGCGCCGCGCACGTGGACGTATTTATTTGAACGCGCGCGCCGCAATTAATTCGATTATCTATACTTGCGCGTTATGTATGTGTTGCGCGCTTTGGTTATTAACTGTCATAATTTGTACGCCAGGAATTCCTACTTTACACTTGCAGTTTTGCCAGCTAAAGAGATAATTTCACTTGGCAAAGCGTGTGCTGTCCGCGACGACGTCCGCGCGCGAGCGACGTGTGTGCACAGAGCGATTCTAAAATAGGTCGTCAGGCTTTGCGCTATATAAAAAGAAGTTGTGTTCCTTGACCAAATTCAAACCCGAGTCCTCTCCTTAATGAGAACGTCGACGGTCCTTGAATTATGCACGGACAGCCGAAAATAAATCACATCTCGAGGAGAGATGTTTTATAAGCGAGTTATCGTTTTTGACGGATAAATCTCATAAGACATTCAAAAGGCCCGCGGAGTGGCAACGATGAAGAATACATCTCGCGAAATTAAAGCAAAATATAAATAACCGGCGTGCCGCATAGAGAAAATAAACTAAAGGAAGAAGTATATAACTAACGCCGCTAAAGTAAAATAAACCAAACGAGTAACGGCACGAAAGCATCGCGCATATACGAATTTATATTGCACAGTTTCTCAGTGGGAATAAACCAAGGGAACTTGCCGCGATCTAACGGTAAAACGCACGACTGTAATAATATCCGTTTTTCACACGAACGACTAAAATCTCTAACAGTGACATTATTAAAAACGAGATACACATTCAGTTTGCGGGGTATTAATTACCGGTAATACATTATTATCCCGTTTGTGCATAAAAAGATATCTGAAAATATCGAATTATCGAAAGTATCGAAAGTATCGAATTAAATTTAGAGGAAAAACCTACATACGCGCTTAATGGAAAGAAAATTAAATTAAAAAATGG